CCAATTCAGGGTGCCAAGACAGTTTTTGTCAGAAACAAGAGAGCAGAGAAAAACTGAACTCCAAGTAGACTTGCTTAAAAATGTTAAACTTTTTTGAAAACATTAGGGCATTCTAGATGTACACCAACATCCTGTCGAACTTCACTGCAACAGTAATTGTTTTGTGCTGTGGAAACGTTAGTTAACTACGCTATGTTCAAAAATGTATAACAAGATTTTTTTTTTTTCCATTAAACACAAACCTAATTTTGCCAGACAGTGGTTTGCTGCTGAGGCTGAACCTTACAATTTAAATTGACCCTCCCAATTAAAACTCAGACACTTGTGAATCTTTTATTTACACTTCAGGGAAGAAAGGAAATAACTAGTAGAATAGTTATTATTATCTCTAGATTCAGCTTGAAAATTGGTCGAGAATTTTGCTGCTCAGGCACAAGTTAAGATCAGACTTTCAAGTTTGACAGTTATAAAGAGATATAGGAAAGGAAGACATAAAGAGATAAAAGAAAACAGCTGATGCTGAAGCAGGAATGTTACTGCTGTCCTTAGGGACAGTGACCAGCCAAATAGCCAGGACAGCGTTTTGAGGGTATTTGCTTTTTCATATGCAGTCACTGCTTCAGAGAATATGGGAGCAAATGATGGAATAAAAGAAAATATATCTGTTACCAGCTTAAATGATAAAAATCCCTTGCCATAAAATTAGTTTCCTGAGACTGAAGAACATGTTGTGACTGCTGTTATTAATATTTGCATAGCTGTCAGAAGCCCAAGCTTTATGACTGCTCGCTACTTCAGGGACCATTGACCACCATTTGAGGTGCTGGCTACAGTCTGAGTTACTGCTTTTCAATAAATGTTACAGCCTTCAGATTCCATTACCAGTGGAGTCTGAATTACATTGACTCTCAAAATAAAATAAAAATGAGCAGAAACAAATTATGGGGCTTTGTCATATATTCTGTTCAGAAATATAACCTATTTTAAGGCAAGAGCATTTTCTCATGAAGTCCTGTTTAACTGATATATAAGACTCAGCACACCTAAAGGTTTGGGACTGTCAAAGACAGTCAGATGGCAGTGTGAATGATAAATCACGTCCTCTTACTTGGACACTTCTGTTAACATCTGTTAACAAAGAAAATTTAGACAGATTTCCTCTGAAAAGATGCAGAAACTACTGTTGTTTATGAAAGTCTCACCAGTTAAATTTAAGGGTCTTTATCCATCCTTATTTTCCAGCAACTCTGAATTACAGGAAATGGAGAAAAAGTGTGCTCTAAGCTGTTGCAGTAATCCAGCAGGGAAATATCCAACATTTGTGTGCCAGTGTATAACTATTACATACTTCTGAGAAAAAAACTGGCACCTGCCCATTCTACAAGTCAACAGACAACAGATTTATTTGTGGAAACAGCTCTAAGCTGAAGATGTCCTACATCCCCACCTTTCTAATGACCCCTTATGCAACTATGCCACTTTTCTGCTTCTTTCCTGGAGGAAAGAATTTACAGCTAAGTAAGATGCCTTTAGCATCAGGAAATTTGAATGCAGTGTTTTCCCCTGAGGGCTGTGGAGATCAGCCCTGTGCCCATGGACAGAAGGGTGTTGGCTGATGGGAAGCTGCAGTACATTTCAATAAAGAGAGCAGCACTGCAGCTGAAACTGAGAATTTCCTACAGTTTCCTTGTTTGGCAAGTAATTCACTGCTATCCAGTGCTGAAGAATTTGTTTTCTGAGGTGATTAGGATCACCAGTGACAACAATGAAATGGGTCACTGCCTATCACAGACCAGTACACCTTAAAGAATTGTTTTTATTGACACTAATCACCACATATCCTTTTTTCAAAGCCAAGAAATCACATTTTTAAGAAGATATTTTGTTTTAGAGCCACCAGGGATTTACTGACATTTTGGGAAAAAAAACCCTGCTTGCTGAATAGGTAACATGCATAATAAAACTACCTGAGGAAGCAGCTGTGAGCCATTGATCCCAATAAACAATAACCTGCTGGGATGGACAGTTTTACCTTATAGTCATGAAAATCTTAGAGATAAATGAATGCAAAACCAGAGATAATATAGGTGACTTTAATATAGGTGACTTTAACAGAAAATGAACCTAAACGTCTTTTATAATGAGGACGGCTGCTTCTTTTCCTACAGAAAAAAAAAAAAAAAAAAAAAAAAAAAAAAAAAAAAAAAGAGCAGTAACTCCAACGCCCAAATCCTCCCAATGAAAGATCCCAGAAATCTTTGCTCTGGTGCCAGCATGAGGAGGCACAAGAGCAGAGTGGTGAAATGCATACCAATAACATCATTGGTAATAACATCAAAAGCACAACTTCAAATACCAGTTTAAAAGGAAGTAAGGTCACCAGTTCTGCCTCCTTAGGAACTCATGTTTGATATAATGTATTCTTGAGGAGTTGTGATTAATAATGGAAATACAGGACGACCAGTACTGAGACTGTACTTGTAAAATGCTCAGTGTGCTGGAGCACTTAATCCCCTACTAAAGCATTGCATAAAAGGCATGTGCCAAAATTCGCGTTGCTGCCTTACTTATTAAATGAACCGAATATCTCTCAAGGAAGCCACAATAATTTCCTTAGGTCTAACAGGATTGAATACAACCTTCAGTACTGAGTTAAGACAAAATATCAGGTTTTTTTCCATCATGGTATGACCAGTGCAGTGTGGCCATTTCAGTGATAAGGACTGCAGTACAAATAGACAAATATCAACCACTTTTGCCTATTATGAAGGTGAAATCTGGTATGCTAAGAGATGAAGATGTAGAAGACTGTAACTATTAGACCTGATTTAGTACTGCCCTTGGAAACTTTAAGCTCTGGGTTGGAATGAACCATGACTTCCTTCTCTTACCCAAAGTCACAGGAGGTTTCATATACTTATAAAATTTCTACTACACGCAGAATTATAAATTTAGCATATAAAAGAAAACTTGTTTTCTGTGAAAATCTCCCAGCTCCATTTATTATTTGAAGATGTTATCTAATGCAAGAGCATTCAAAACAACAAACATATACTGGTAATGTTAACTTCAGATATTTTCTCAGAAAGGAAGAAATTAAAGCATAAAAAGCATAAAAAAAGCTGAAAGCTAAACAATAATCTTGTTCATTTAGGAAGGCAAATACAGAGGAAAAAATTTAAATACTAAATTACCCAGTTGAACCTTAACTTTCCTATTTTGGTGCATAAAATTGAGTAACTTAATTTCTAGATGGAGTAAGAATTTATGAAAAATTAGCAGGACAGGAAAGGAATGGAATAGTCAAGCACCACCACCTCTGAGGCAAAACTTTCTAGACTGATGAATTTCAATGTACCTCAAAAAGAAATACAAAAAAATCAACTGTGTAACAATGGCAGACAATGAAAATTCTGATTTAAAAAAAAAAAAAAGTGGAAGGATGTAACCAATGATCAGGGATTCCCTTCCCTTCATCAGGGTGTTAAGCTGCAGTGGAAACAGCACAAGAAGGAGCTGAGATCTGCCAACATCTGACACAGGGATGCATCACCTTAATAATGTTTGTCTTACAAGGATGATTCAGCCACCTTGCAGTAAAGGTGAGGGAAGATGTAATGCATTTACAGTTGAAATTGCTCCATGGATTTGTTTAAGAAGCCTGTTTGGCAGCTGAAGTTGTTCTATCCTTAGGAAGTGGGAGAGAGTGTAAAAAACACCCCTAATATGAAGAGTAAAAGCAAGCAGTTAAGTCTTCAGGGTTTGTTTGGATTTTGTAATAAACTGGTACATTCATGAAAGTTAACAAGCTGAATAAATTCATCCTTCAACACCGTTAACACATATTTACACTCACTGTTCAGGTATGATGAAGACAACTCTAGCTTTACTTAACACAACAAAAACATTTCTCTGACAGTTTACTCAGAGGATGACTGCTTTAAACCAAAACACTTTATCATATATATGTATATATAAAAATATATAAAATATTTTTGTATTTATATTTATGTATATTTTTAAATATAGAAATATAAAGGTTCTGTATTTTAGAAAAATATGGAAGGTTTTTGCCCACTAAAATGAAAGTTTTGTAGAATATTTGTATGGTTAACTGCAAAGTACTTTGAGCTTGTGTTTGTTTCTGAAGTAAATCATCAGGAATTATGAAATTTTATTACCATTCTAACAATTTAATTTTTAACACTTAATTCTGTAAGGGAGTTATAGTCAAAAGCCATTCATCCACATAAGAATCTCCTTCACTGATGCAGGGGACGCTGTGTTCACAAGTGCAGCCATAGTAATTATAAGTATAAATATTGCTGGAACTTCACAGGCCAGGGAGGAATCATGATTGCATTGATTTTTTTGAGTCTGCTACTGCACAGTATCTCAGTACTCCAGAAAATACTAAATGAAATTGATTCCAATGAAGTCAAAGAAGAACATAAATTCTAATAAAATACACTTGGTCTTAACTGAAGTCTGTGATATTGCAATCTGATACAGTCACTTAACGTTTAAAAAAACCAGGGGCTCTGAAAGCCAGCCATTAACAAAGGACCACATTCAAGTGCCCAGGTACATACAGGTTTGTGTACCACTTTCTGTGTTTACATCTAAATGCTGAAGTTATATTACAGATAAACAGGTATGTTCAACAATTTAAATTCAGATTTTAAAATGGACAGCCTGAAGTCTAACTCACTACTAAAAGCTAAAGCACAGAATCATGGAATGGTTTGGGCTGGAAGGGACCTTAAATATCACCTCCTTTCAACTCCCCTTCCATGGGCAGTAACACCTGCCACTGGGCCATGCTGCTCAAAGGCCAGCCTTAAAATCACACTATGATTGCCATCATAATATAATTACTACACACAGAAAATATAGCATGCAAATAACTCTATTTGTATACGTTCTGTACGAGTGAAATGGTGAAATTCAATGCAGAGCTGAAATAAAAACATCTCTAAAAGCACGAAGCAGTCACTAACCTGTATTTTGATTGGCCAGGAGAAATTGCTGACATAGACATAGAAAGTGATGTTTGGGTTGCTTCGAAAGTTAAATTTTTCACAGGAAAAGCTGTCTCTGTATTCCTTTATATTAACCTTGGAAACAACAGGAATTTCTTCTCCAGATATTGTTCCAGCTAAAAAGAATTTAAAAGCTTAGGTATAAATATAAATATTTGAGAAAAATATTAATCATCATTAAAGATTCCAAAGTCAATTTGCATAAGAAACATAAATCCTTAATTGCTTTTGGTGTCTTCCCTCTAAAACAACCTCTTATTATAGTTTACACGGCACATTAGGTATATTTAATATGCATACTGAGAATTCACAGAAATTTTTACTTTGGTTTCAAAAAATTATATGTAAATTGGAAAAGTGACAGAAGTAGCATGAATTTTACAAGATAGTTATTATGGTCAGCTTAACAGATAATATGCTTTCTTCCCTAATTTATGTTCCATTTCAATAAACAGCTCAATAAAACCTAAAAGGGAATTTGTCTACATCTTACATTTTTGCTGTCAAGTTTTAATTGTTCATGAAAGCGTTAATAATGTAACTAGTAATAAACATTTATTAGTCTTTGCAAATAAATCAGTGACTGAGCTAAGTTAAAACAAAGGAATAAATAGAGTTTACTAACTATGGTATGGTAAAGTACTTCTGAAATGCATTGATGAAGAATCTCATGAGTTTAAGAGAAACTCTGAACCTTCTTTAAAATGATTCTCTTTCAATTATTTCATTTTAAGCATCATGCCTCTCCTTGGATGTGTTTTCAGAAAGTCAATAGAACCAATTCAGAAAAACTGTCTAAATTAAAACAAAGAAGAGTAATGGGGTTCAAAGTTGGAGAAAAAATAGATAAGCAGCTCCTTTTATCAGCATACACAGAAGAACTTTATTGTTTGATATCAATGTAAAGGTTAATAATTAAATTTTTAGCTTGAACACTGAAACAAAGAAATAAAATCTCAGTCTCTGCAGTAGTTAAGGAAGCAATTTATCTTAATTAAAATCACAGCATTTCATAACACTGTCATTTTAAAAATTTAAATATGCTACAAGCTTTTCCTACCAAAGTAATTTTAATTGAATAGGAGAGAAAGTCAACATATTAATGAAGCTTTATTCAGATTGCAAATTATCATCTGAGGTTTAAATAATATAATTAATAACAGCATAATGATAATGGTAAAAGAACACATTTGGCAAAGTTTTATTATCAAAATTAGCAACAAAGAGACAATCAGGTTAAAATAACTCAAAGGATCATGAAATCATTTGGGGAAAAATTCATCATACCAAAATTCACTCTCACCTGTAGAACCAATAGACCACGTAATATTGAGGTTAAAGTTGTTTGATGCATTAATTGATATATCCAAATTTTTATTTGACTAGGGGAAAAAAAAAAAAAAAAGGAAAGTTAACAAAACATATCAGAATGTATTGCATGTAACACTACTGAACATAACTGAATACAGCCTCTTAGTCATTTTCCAGTTTTCATTGTAAACATAAATAGAAATGGTAATGATTCACTGCCAAAGGCAATTCTCTCTTTTGCTTTGATAAGAACAGGGTACAATTTAACATACAACTACACCAGTTACACTCGGAGATTGTCCTAAGTATACCAAAATATTGTCTTTATAAAATTAAAGAAAAAAATATATGTCATTATACATTCTAATGTATATTTAAAATACATTCTAATCACAAGCCAAAAATTTCCTTGCCTAAAAATGTTTTCTCAGCAGAAGGGTACACCCTTCAATTCATCTCAGGAAGATACTAAAAGTTTTTATTCAAGGGAGCAACAATAAAATAAACCAACTTATAATTTTTCAGAGTATTGATTAAGCTGAAGTACATCCACCATTTCTAAAGGGTTCTCAGTGAAGGCACTGGACTAATTTTTCAGCTCTCAAAAAATGTGAACTATCTCTAAAACCTTATAGATATTTTGAATACCTTCAATCAATGTCAAATACAATGGAAATCTTAATTTTGAGTCTTGAAAACTCAACTAAAATTATTACCATTTTCTTACCTGCTCTGGATTTGCTATAAAGTTTATGGCAGTGTGATGACGATCATCCTCTTGTAATAAGCTGAAGGTAAACTGATAATCGATCAAAAGGCTGTCTGTAGGCAAAACAAAAATTTAAAATAAAGCATATACACATTAGTTCTATATGATGCAAGTACTAAAAATTTAGCGTTCACATTGATTTTAAAAGTCATGGAGAAATCTACAAGTCAGAATTACTCAGACTGCACTGTTGAGTTGCTTGCACTATAAAGTCTTAAAATGATTAAAAACTAAGTTAACAAAAAAACAAAATTAATAAAAAAATAACTAAATTAAGAAACAAATTCTATCATTGAGTCAGAGAAGCAATTAAACATAACTTGAAACAGTCATCCTTTATGAAATAATTATTCAAAAATATAGTATTAAGTGTTGTTAAAGCATTATCAGTTTCCTAATTTCACTCTGAAATAATGATTCAATTACTAGGTTTAAAAAAATCTGAAAGAAGTTGCATCTACACGAAAATTATATAGTATGAAGACTTATTCATAGTAGTAAATGACTGCTAATAACGACATGGCACAATGGAACTTTGAAGAGAAATTATGTGACCATCAACTGTTTCCTTTCTAAAGTGACAGAATTTTAAGACATTTTGTTAAGTGGCAAGTGATATAAATTTTTCATACAAGGAAAACAAGGGGTTGTTTAGTATTGCTCAAAAAAAAAAGATATTTTACTCCTCATTGGATTCTGTTCTACACATTTTTCTTTCACCCTATGAATGGATCAGAGCTTGCCAGGGAGCTCCCACTGCTCCCGTCTGCTCACTAACAATCTGCTGGGCTGGCAGAGGTGCAGGAGAGAGAAAAACATCCACCTTCAGATGATCCAAACCATGCCGAGCCCTTCCTGGAAGGAGCCGACAATTACTGGGACAAGTCAGAAGTCCTGAGCTATCCTGTTGTGTTCCCAAAGCCAGAGGAAGGAGATTAACCCTTACTTGGGCACGGCTCAAGGAATGAGTGAAAAGGAACTTTCCTGCAGGGGAAGGGGCAGAGGCAGACTCAACAGGATGAAGCAGGTTAACAGCATCTCCAAAATGTAAGAAAAAAAAAAAAGGTCACCAGGAATTATTGTTGTTGCAACTTACAGAGGGAGCTATTAGAATCCCAGCAGGAAATGTTCAGTGCAGAGTTAAGAATCAGCAGAGCCCTCAGAGATGTAAATTGTGATAGCAGATAATAATCCCTGTGCAGCAGACAGGTGTGAACCAGAGGCGGGTGTGGTGGATGCATCTTGAATGCTCTGTTACATGGGCAGATATCTTCAGATCCAACAGAATAAGTCTTCTAAATCTTTTACCATTACAGTTCTACAGGGATCAAAAGCTTCTATTTTTCCCTCTCTCACAGGAAAAAAGGAGGTGACTTATAAGAGTACATGATTCTGATTATTTTTTTATGCCTGTTAAAATATGGCAAGTCATCTCTGGTGCTACAACTTAGCGAATAACTGTAAAGCATTATTTTGATCCCTGACCTGCTGACATTCTGCATTCTGCTAGTCACCAACACCACACAAACCATGTTACAAATAAAAATATGTGATCATAAAAGCAAATCAGTAAATACAAAGAGAGTGAAAGATTAAGTCAAAGCAGAAGAAAAGCTGTGTCAGCCTTTTGTTGGATTCAATAGTTTGCCTGCTGCTGACAATCACCTTTTCTGCAGCAACATATCATCTGAAAAAATACATTCTGTTGTATCCTATGGGAAGGCTGACATAGAAAGAGAAAAATGCCCACTATATTGTGTTAATAGTTAAATAAAACTGTTTTGGTTTGGTTTTGTTCAGCGTTTTTTTGGATTTCTTTTAATAGTGAGTGTGGAAGGAAAAGTAGAAAAAAAAAGGTTCGTAGAATCACAGAATATCCTGAGTGTGAAGGAACCCACAAAGGAGTTACCTGAAAGGAATTACCATGACATTCAAAAGTGATAAGTTCACTTTCTCTATTATTAGCTACCACACTTTTGTTATTCAAATAATAATAAGCTGATCTACATGTCTTAGCTAACAAGTTTTGTCCAAGTTTCTGCATGTTTATGAAGGCAAAAGATGAATAAATATATAATTCAAATGCCTCATTTATTTATTAATGCTACTCTACACTTCTATAGTTATGCAAATCTAATTAATAAATCTCATTGACTCTATTGTGCCATATCTCCATGCTTAACAATCATGTACCATGGTACCAGAAGACATTTAAAGGTAACAGGACAGGAAAAGATAGCAAGTAAAGACTGACCCCCATTAGATGGATTAATAAACCCTTTAATAATCATGAGTAGAAAGGTGAAAAGGTTAGGAATCATGTATATATATGCTCAATCTCCTGATCTAGTCAACTTGGAGCTCCTCAAAATACAAGTGACTGCTTCAGCATGAATCTTTGCAAACAGATTTATTGTAAAGGCATGGTAGGCAGCACCACAGAAAGCACTCCTGAAGAAATTCTGGCTACAGCAAGGGCTACAAGATGCATGAAGCAGCATTGACAAGCCTGGAAAAGATATTATTGATCTGCTTATAAGATATGGAAAATTATCAATTAAATATGTCACAGTCTTCTTCTAAGACCAGACTGTGTGCTCGAGATGAAGAGTGTCACCCAAAAAAACAACAGTCATATATAGATAATATCCCATCCTAAAATAACACAGGGAATAGACATAGGACTCTTGTCACCCAGTCATGAATGAACAGCTCTTTTGCATACGAGTTAAAAAAAAACACAGACATTTACTTTTAAAACAATGTGACTTTTTTTTTTTTTTCCCTGGGGTTTGGTGGTGGTGTTATTGTTTAGTTTGTTCTTGGTTTTTGAAATTTATGTTTTACTTGTTAAAAGCCAACAAAGTATGAACTGATTTTTCAAGAAATTCAGGAAAAGTCCTTACACTTAGAAGTTAAACTACACAGTACCACATAAATTTACCATCTGTAACAAATGAGAATATTAATTCCACTTTTTCTTATTGCATTCTTACAATACAGTTGACAGTAAATTGTGAAAACAAGAGTTAGTCACGTGCATAGCCTTTTGTACCCAAAATATTCCAAAGTTTTTTGTTGTGTTATTAATTACTCTGTCAATGGTTGATCAGTTTGATCCTTCATTAATAGCAGCAAAGTTCAACAGGAAATCCACCACATTATCTCCTCTGTAGCACTCAAAAGCCTTGAACAATACAGCTTCAAGAGCAGCTCGGAGAGCCAACACAAGAACTCGCCCTGGGATTCTTCAGAGTAGCCAAAAGATCTCTAAATTACACCAGCTCCACAGAGACCTGCCACAGGACAAATCATTAAATCTTCACCTTGGCCACGGCCTGGGTGCTGTAAAGCAGAAACACTCATCTCTTCAGAGACAATTCTAATTCAGGGAAGGTACCCAAGGTGCATGACTTGAATGAAGCAGACAGCAGTGCCTAAGTGGCACTTATGTGATTCAACAGCACAAATGAACTCAGGTGCAAATGAAAGAACTGACACTGAGGAAACATTCCTTCCCATCCTTCTGAGGACTGCAGAAGTTTGCTGAAGAAATTGTATACGTTGAAGAAAGGTTCACAAAACTTCCAGGAAGATTTGTCTGGACCTGTTCTTAAGGTGAAGATTCCAAACCTCTGAAAGTCGCTAAAGTTAGATTTTATTAGAATATAAATTAGTAGAACTAATTTAAGAAGAAATCCAGAGTAGAAATTAAAGGGATTGTAAAGAATACTCTACCCATTGTACCCTGCTGCTGTCTCACTATCCTTTCTCACTCTCTCCATCTGTTTCATTCTGTAACTTAGGAGACTCTTCCCCCACATCTATTCAGCAGCCCCCAGGGAAAATATCACCTCTCTCTCCTCCAGAAAGCTCCACCTTCTGCAGACTGAAGCAGACAGAACAGCTTTCCTTCCTACTGCCAAACCTCTTCCTGAATATAATATATGCCAATGCATCATAAGTGCACATTATGCACCAAACACAAACTAAGCAGTTACACAGTACATCACACCATATTTCCCAATTCATAGTGCCATTCAAACTAGAGAGCTTAGCCCCAAAAGCAGTATAAAATTTAAACTAATAGTCGGTTCTAAGACTGTGACCTGTTCTGAATAACTAAATGTATAACTAACCAAATATATAATAACTAAATGTAGAAATAGCTATTTAAAGTACATTCACTATATCCTGTTGATTTATACTGTTGTGTATATTTACAATCAGGAATTTGCAGAAGCCTAAGATTCTACTCCACGTGGGTTTGTTTCTACTTTAAACCTTTATGAAGCCACAATAAGTAATTTTACCCTTTACATAAACAAATGAGACATTTTGTGTTTCTGTTTACCAAGACAGAGACACAACAAATCTGCTCAAGCAGGTGACTCAAGCAGCAGCCAGATAGAATTTAAAGAGCCACATTCTAGCCTATAATCTATAAACTCCCTGAACCTTTATGTCTAAGTTCTGTAAGAAAAGTTTCTGAGGATCTAGAAACCTCTCCACAAACTCAGAGTCCACAGCTCAGATCTGAATTCCCCAACACAAAACACAGTTTTTGAAATCCACAAGCTGGGTATTTTTGAGTCAAGAGTCATCCCAGAACAGTCTATTATCTGTTTCCAGGCATTTTGTTTCACTTTATCTTAGAAATCATTGATTAAAGTAGAAAAAAAACTGTTGGGAGACAGGACCACAACACCATCCTGACATCGTCAATGGTCAAATATTACAAAGACTTATGGTTATTGAGTTTTTTTCACATCTCTATTTTGATTTTTTCAAAACCCTAGACTCCTTTCACAGTCAAAAGGAGTCATTAAAATCAATTCAAAATGCCAGTAATGAGCATGTGTGAGAACATAACAATAATTAGGGGAAGAAAGATGTTTAATGAAATGAGGAAAATAAATTTCAAAGTAGTTCTTTAACCCTAGTATTGCTGTTAATTTTCAAGAAACCCCTCTGTTTCATTTCGAAAGGTCAATGCCTTCTGATAAGGATAACATGGTTTAATATGAAAGCTTTAGACCCATATCCAAAAAGG